CTCTCCCATGGCTTCCTCTTCCATGGCCTCCGGCTCGGCTGTACACCATCTCGAGCTGCAGATTGGCACCGTTCTAGTGACCACTCCTTCTTCTGAACTCCATCTCTGAGTGGTATTTTGTGGATCTACGCGCCATCTTGAGCTGCGCACCCTTGCTTCAATGGGCTCTTCTTGACATGTGCACCATCTCGAGCTGTTGACCGACTGGGTTCCGACTATCTCCTCGTTGTCTGGATCCTGGGTCCGTACAAGTACATGCTGAACTCTTTCTGTTTCTTCTTCAATGCTCTTCTTCTCGTCTAGGGTCGGTCTCCCGTCTGAATCGGACATCGAGATGGTGTTGAAAGCCATCTTAAGGTCCATTTTCGTCTCGTTTCCTGCCCATCTGAGACCTCGCCTGGGAAGCCTACCGTGGAAGCGACGATTATGCCGCGGATGGTGTCGAGGGCCGTACTTCTGTGACCATTTGCAATTTTGCCTTGCTTGTACTAGTCGATGGCCTCCGTCAGACGATCGATTTCCGAGTCTTCGAGGTCCGAGATCGAGGTGAGACCGATTCGGAAGTCGCTGATCTCGGGTGGGATTCGTGTGAAGGGAAGCTCGACGAGCTGGCCAATGTACTCGGATGTGGTCATTTCGGGATTGCAGTATTCCCAGGCATGGTAGACCTTGGCGAGTCTTTTGATGTAGTTTGACCAGCGAGGCCAGTCCTTGTGTGAGATCAGCCTGGGAACTGCAATGTGCAGCTGTGGAGCGACAGGCTGGAGACGTTCGCAAGTGAAAGTCATTGCGGCTATGCGTGTGGACTGTTTGATGTGAAACTTTCACGTACGGAGAAGTTGAAAATTGAATCAAAGTGACGGGGGAGCAGGGGGGCGAGGAGGAGAGAGGGTGAGGGGAGATTCGGAAGTGAAAAACTTCTTCTTTTTTACTTGGTTCCTTTAGCCCAGCAGCCGAAACCCAAAAGAGTGAGCAACATTGCTATACCATGAAGCTGTGGAATCCTGAAGTTGTAGCACTGCGCAAAAGAGTGTCCCGAGGTGGTGTAGTGAGTTCCCGTGAGCATCGATTCAGAGATCTTGGAAATTCACGGTTCGATCAAGGGAGACCAATTAGTTCAATCCATCGATGTCCCCACTTCCTGGCTGACTTACAACTGCCTGTCTGAGAAGTGAGAGAAGCTCACTTCACTTTTCATTGCATACGTGCTAGTCTCTGATGGGGAAAGTACTCGATGACATGAGAGAAATCCGCTGGTGTCTGTTTCGGTCAGTCTTGAGGTGGGTTAGCATTTCTTCACTGTTCATGTAATTAGACCTCTTCAGGAATGTATGATAAGTGTACACTGTACACTTACTGTACAGTGTACATCAATTATTTCCTTTCTTCTCTAACTCCTTAAGTGGCCGATACATCATTGTCCCATGCTGGAGCTAGATTCATATGATCGCATCAATATGGTCCTATATAATCCAGATCGTGCGGGTGGTGTAGCTGATAGGCAATATTCATCGATCGATGACATGATGTCTATTCCAAAGACACCTCCCCACAGCCCTATCCATAAGATGGATCTCCCTGCACGTTCGTTGTCTTAGCAGGCTTACCTACACAAACTAGGCCCCGCTATCCCTCAAGTGGACTGGAGATAAAATACTTTCATGCGATGATACGAACAGTCAAGTGCGTGACGTACGAGAATTGATGACCGATGTTCCCAATTTCCCCCTGGTATGGAGGTACCTACCTCGGCTAGTTCGTGGAAATGAGGTGCTGCAGACTGCGTGTCAAACAACTTCCAAAATAACTCGGGCAATGATTCCGGCAGCTGAAGGTTCACTTCCATAAGCTACCTATGCTAACCCAATCTTACACGCATAGTAGAAACTTCAACTGTCGCGTCCAAGCTGTTCATATGTTTATCTTCCTTCCGGGTCCCAATAATGGCAAAATTAGAACTTATGTTGGGTATTAAAATAGGCCGACGTTTGGCTTCAATGTCCCATCTCCATGGAAATATATATTCCTGTTGATTGGGCCCAGTCCGTCCCCACATGTCGACACTACATCCGCCCGTAGGTCCAATACATTTATATCTTACCAACCTGTCGCAACAAAGTCCATGGTTGGGAAAGAGAGATGTGTCCTCGAAATTATCTGCATTCTTTCAGTATTCATCTACCAGTTGTGATCAAATCGAAACAAGAAACAGAAGCTCCCACAACCGGGTGAATTTCATCAATTGTGTTAGAGATAATACAAAAAGACAGCCGAATCTAATATATAGCCAAAAACTTCGCTAGCATTTCATATTCGCACCAGTGGCATAGCTGGACAGTGGATCTTAGCGGCCGGCTGGCCCAATGGCAAGGCGCTTGACTACGAATCAAGAGATTGCAGGTTCGACCCCTGCGTCGGTCAATCTTTTTTGGCTCTGGCCGATTGTTCTGGCTTCCTCCAAGCACCATGGACTTCTCATTGGACATGCTTGACCGTCGCAAGACGTGTTGAATGCAGAAACCTCACAGGGTTTCATGTCGAAGGTCATGAGATCCACTGGGTAATGATCAAGAAGGGTCGCAATGTCATTGTTCGCAGGATATGTACATAACTCAAAAGGGCAGATGACGAGATAGGTCACTGAGTAAGGTCTAGCACCACCCGACCCTGCAGCTTTCCCTCTGCCATCTCCTGGAACACCGAAGTGAGATTCTCCATCTTTTCCAACCGATAATGAGCCTTGATGATACCGCGAGAGGCAAAGGCCATCGTCTCGATCGCATCCGTGCGATTTCCAACCGCAGACCCCGTCACCGTGTAATGTTGATTGATGAAAGATGCCGGGAACGCCGTCGCAATAGCCTGGGGTTCATGCTCGGGGATGCCAACACAGACGAGAGTGCCGCCGAATCGCAACAAGGGCAGCGCCTGTGCATAGGCCGCATTCGCCGCTGTACAGACAATGGCCGCATGGGCACCTAGCCCCTCTGTCAAGGATTTGACGTGCTTCTGTAACGCCTCGCCGTTGTCGTCCTTGGGGAACTGTGTGATGTCGATGAAGTGCTCCGCACCGGACTCTTTGACCAGATCTGCTTTGCTTCCGTGGTCAATGCCAATGACGCGCTGGCCCATGCCTCGACTGGCAAGCTGCACGGCGATGTGACCGAGACCACCTCCGGCGCCTGAGATAACGACCCATTGGCCGGGTCGAGCATTGCTTCGCTTCAGGGCGGAGTATACGGTCACACCGGCGCAGAGCACGGGAGCGGCAGCAGCAGAGTCCAGCCCGTCGGGAATTGGTGTCACATAGTTGGCTGGTCCTAGTGCGTATTGCTGGAAGGTTCCTGGGTTGTAGTAGCCGGAGACTTTCTGGTTGAAGCACAATCCGTCGAAGCCAGCTCCGCATGGTTCTGTGGAGAATCACCATCAGCCATCAGATATTCTCCCACACAAGCAGTAGGGCCGAGTCCGGCGATACGTACGGCAATTTCCACAGGCACTCGCTACCCATTTAATGCCCACTCGATCTCCAATCTTCAACCCAGAGGACTCGGTGCCCGCGCCGAGCTTGACAATCTTACCGACACCCTCGTGTCCTCCGACTTGACCGGGTGGAGTTGGGAAAGGGAGCATTTTCCACTGGGAAGGGGTTAGTCATCGGAACCCAAAGAAGACAGATTGAGAGCCTGCACGACATACCGTGTTTGTCATGATACCATAGTCGGAGTGGCACACGCCAGAGTGCGTTCTGTGAAACCCCGACAGAATCAGCACGCCATTGCAATCTCGTGCACGACCTCCCCAGGTATGTAAAATTGCTTACAAGTTGATGAGAACCTCGCCAGCGCTGGGCTCAGGGACATCGATCTCTACGACCTTGGTAGAGACTGTTCCCGGCTGGTCGTAGACGACCGCCTTTTGTTTCTGAGGAACATCCACAGTTGCCATAGTTGACAAGATAGGGCAGTAGTTGAGAATGAGTGGTGAGGTCTTTTTTTGGATTGTGAGCTTGATCGATATAGTGAGCTTGATTGATACGGGTATTCGGACACTGCTCCAATATGCGAAGCACAGAAGTGATGAAAGCAGTACCTTACCGTTGGTTGACTGGAGCCTATTTATCTCTTTGCCACCCGTCCGCACCGAGACCGAACTACATCAATAGCCAGATAGCCAGGGCGGAGGCATACGATCGCGGGGTCAAGGATTGGCATGATGATCCGATTCCTCCGTTCACACAGCACGTTCCACAAGAAGAGAGGGGGCTAGACTCGGAAGTCTGACCGGCCTCTACAGTAAAAGCCTGGTATGATCGTTGAGGGATCGCGGACAGATGCTACCATATTGGACCGTTGGTGAGGGGTGCGATCGGTCATCGGTGGAGTTCGCCAATGCTGGACCTCGGCCATCGTGCAGCCGGGGTACCATGAAGCATCGAAATTGTGCATCTGTTTTCCCATCCTTGAGGCATGCGAGTCTGTTGGGGCGTGCGAGATGTGTGTTGAGCTGGAGCATTGCCCCTTGCTCTCTTTATATGGGAATTGCTCTCAAGGTACTCATGGGCAGACTTGAACAAGATATCAAGACCATGAGCTGAGCTCGCGGTGACCCCGCACGATGGAGTTAGTAGAGTACCTCAGTAGAATGGATGGCATGATGATCGTTTAGCACCAGACGTAACTTGAAATGTATGGCCTCCACATCCGTTAATTACCCCGCATCTTTCCCCGCGATGATTATAGTACTACAGTCCCGGGGATAGATGTACTGTGCTTAGACCCAGGATCTGATGGATAAAAGAAGTACATATATACTATTGTACAAAACTACAAATAGGGCAGTCCATCAATGTAGGTATAGATGATTTAGTTAAATCTGGAAAAAAGCCAACCTTCTAGAACATGTGACAAAGTGGTGTTACTTCGATGAAGCACCAGTCTTACGAGAAGCTCTAAGTTGAAGCTTTAACAACAGCAATTGTGGAGTAAAAGACTCAAAGCGCTCTATTAGTGTAGTGGTCTAGCACGTGAGATTTTGACAGCATCCTTTCTTCGGATAGGCATCTGGTCTTCTCGAGTCCCAGGTTCGAACCCTGGATGGAGCTTTGTTCTTTTACTTTTTTGACTATGCTGTATCTCCCGGGTTCTCGACTCTGGACTGGATAGACACGATCGCTAGGTGGGACCAGTAACTTAGTGGGAATTGAAAATCAATCCAGCTAGTTTTTTTTTTTTCTTCGTACCTGTTTGCATGGCTCTCTATATCCGTCTCCACTACGTATCTTACTCTAGAACTCGAGTATCTACGAACTACGCGCCGACATATACCATGTACCATGAATGCACGAGCATGAATCAGACCATCAAATTCCTACAATGTAAACTCAAGCAAATTACCCGCATAGTCTCTCGCAAAGAACCGTCGCGGATACTCGGTCGAACCGGACGTCGAGACTGATGATATCAGAAACCAAACCCGATTAGCCTTCATTCGGTCTCAACGCAAAGCAAAAAAAAAAAGTCATCGATATTCGAAAACCACCAAATCAAACGACAAATCGTCTCGGGCCTTTTTCTCTCTCGTTTTCGAAAAATCCATTCCGTACATACCAGAACTGCCCTCCCCAGGCTTATCAGCCGCCATTGGCGCAGCCGGACCACCACGGAGATGGTGCTCATAGATCTTGTTCCGCAAAGTCTCCAACTCCTCGCGGCTCGGCAGTCGGAAGCATGGGTGTCGTTTGGACTCCGGGTCTGTAGACCCGCACGAGATGTGGATTTGCTGGCCACTGGAGCCAATGTCGAACCTGGTCCGAGGGGTTGGAATGTCAGCACTCAGTATCAAGAGGCCTCCTTCATTTATGGAGACGTAGATTGGGGCAGTCCAGTGCCAGATACTACATTGACACACTACATCGGTCAGTCACAGCGACTGTGTAGCCAGCCAAAACATACCAGACCAATGACCCGACGCGATGTTGCGGCACAGGCGCCGATTGAAGACCGAGTGTTTCGCCGTAGAACTGCCGTGCGTGATCCAGACTCCCCGCGGTCACGGTCAGATTGACGTGGGCGATGCCGGTGATCATGATGGATGGGAAAACTAAGCTTGTTGCGTGGTTGAAGTTGAGGTCGAGCTCGGGGGGTTGGTAGCTATTGGTTACTGGGGTCTTCACCAATGTTTTTGAAACTTTTTTTCTGACGACTAGAGTTGATGGCAGACTATATGTAAGAACCGAAAAAAAACTTGAAGTCGGGGTGGTGAGGTCAAATGTTTGTCAGAGCTGAAGGGGCCGGTTCCGTTCCTATGCAGGTCCAAGCGATGAATCTGGTCCCGGTCGGTGACATAACTGACACAAGGTCCATCCATGGTCGGGTGATGCCCGCCTGCTGATGTTACCCCCACGTAAAGCGCGGCATGAGTTACTAACATCTCCAAGACTGATCTATCCCCATTGGCAAAGCGGCCGACTGAAGAATGGGCAGTGTATCTTAACAGAGTAGGACAGGAGCAGTTGGGCTTTGAACAGAGCTCGCAAACATGGGAAGTAACACAGAACAAAGAAATCTTGGGGATGCGAGGCAACGATTCGTTCTACATTTACGATGGAGGCCGAGAGGGGACGGGGGTGATCTCTTGACCTCAGCATTTTTTTCAATGGGAGCATCGGACTTGAAAATTCTGATTGAGTAGATTGGTAATTATGAATACATCTGCCACGTCGGGACTGACAATAGCCGCTGCTGAGAGCTTCTTCGAGCATCTCAGAAAATAGATCGAACAATACGCATCGGCGCAGCCGCCAACCACTCACCCCAAGTGTTGTACACTTTCTTGGGAGGCAGATCCACATCCAGAGCCGTATCACGCATGTTGCTAAACATGTCCATGTCCTGAACCTTGACGAATGAAGCGCCTCGGTCCAATTTAGGGTCCTTGTTGAACTTGGTGTACACGATCCACAAGAAATAGAGTCCGACGATCAGAGGGCCCGCAAGGTAGTTCTCGAAGAAGGTCTCGGCGTCCATAGGCACCACGGCAGTGTAGAAGGTGGCGACCAGACAGAGAACGTTGAGTCCAAAGCCAACCCAGCTACCGAGCACACCAAAGGGTGCAGCGTAGGCAAGCTCGCTGACGTCACGGCCGTGGTGCTTCCATCCAGCGCGGAAGCGGACGTGTGCGAGACAGATGCTGCCCCAGACGAAGAGGGAGTTGATACCGGAGAGGGCAAGAAGCCAGCCGAAGATGACGCTACCCGTAGCAGAGGCCTCGTTGATGAAGGCGAGGAAACCAAAGGCAATCTGGAGGAGCACGCAGTACACGGGGCGGCCCTTGCTGTCGACATACGCGAAGATCTTGGGCGCCATGCCACGCTGGGCGAGAGCCTGGATGGTACGGCTGGAGCCATAGGTCGCCGAGTTGGCGACACTGATCACGGAGATGGTAATGACGGCGTTCATAACCGAGGGCAGACCAGCAATACCCGCGTTCTGAATCGAGACCACAAAGGGAGAAGCCTTGGTGTTGGCACCGGAGGAGTTGAGCAGGTAGTCGGCGCTGGACGGCACGATCAGACCAACGATGAAGGTGGCCAGGACATAGAAGATCATGATACGCCAGAAGACCTGCTTGGTGGCCTTGGGAACGGACTTGGCGGGATTGGCAGCTTCGGCAGCAGCCAGACCAGCCAGCTCAGTACCGGAGAAGGCAAAGGCCGCGGTGACGAACACTGAACAAAAGCCGGGGAAGGTGGTGAAGGCGCCGGGATTGCGCCAGTACTCCGTACCGAGGTAACCTCCTTTGGGGGCACCACCACAGTCAATGACGATGCCGAGGATGATAAAGCCAATGACAGCGATGATTTTCATCAAACCGAGTGCAAATTCGACTGTGTAAATGGAATGTGTAAGCGAGTGTTTCAAGCACGCACCAACCCCTCCAAGTCAATCCAGATGAGAAGAGGGATACCGACCTTCACCGTAACCACGGACGCCAAACCATTGAATCAAGCTGAGGACAGTGAGGAAGACGGCGATCCAAATTCCGACATTTAAATCGTCGCGCCAAAATTGGATGGTAATACCGGCGGCCGTGATTTCAAAGGGTAGAATGATCAGCCAACTAATGGCGTAGTCCCAACCAACCGCAAACCCCCTGAAGACAAGTGAAAGTGTTAAGACGACCCACTTGAGTGAAAAGACAAGCAAAGAACGAGAGGATGTGAGTGCTTACCAGGCAGGATTGATGAACCGAACACAGTAAGTGAAGAAAGCACCGTTTTCAGGGTACATCGTGGCCAGCTCTCCCAGAGCCTGCACGGTAAGCAGAAGCATGGCACCGACAATCAAGTAACATATCAACTGCAGCCTGCGTCAGCTGATGATCACACTTTCTGTAACAACAAGATCGGGACTCACCAAAGCTCCGGGACCTCCACTTTGCAGCGCACTACCTGTACCGACGAACAGACCGGCACCGATAGAACCACCTAAGCGAAGCGAGGGAAGTCAAGTATTAGTCCCAACTCCAAACCAATCTGTGTTGATTAACTCCGAGCTCATGAGAGTCTCATACCAATGGCAATCATCTGCATATGACGACCCTGCAAGTTTCGCTTGAGAGCTTTGACCTCGGGGGCGCTGCCGACTGCAACATCGTCGTAAGCCGGTACACCTCCCTCGCCATGGGGAGTGACCGCGGTCACTCCCTTCTTCTCGATGTCCTCGTCCATGGCGGTCATCTTGTCAAGGTGGGCGAAAGAAAGGGAAAGACAGAAGGAAAGGGAAAAAAAAAAGGAAATCCGGGAATGCCTGAACGGATTCCTAGGCAGAGAGGAAAAGGGGATGCGCTCGAGGACGCCCATGCTTGGGACCCCCGATGGTGTTATATACCATCTCATCCATTGTGACTGCCTCAATTCACTGTTCACCTAGTCCACCCGCTATCCATGTGCTCCTTCACCCGAGCTAGTAACCTCAGCCCGTTCGAGTGCCTTAGCGGTGGCGTTCTCCCAGAAAGGTTGGATACTCTTCTCAGATCCCTCTAATAGGCCCTGTGCCGGCCAACGCCCGGTCAGACCAACCGCATTAGGAAAGATAAGGTCCTTGAGGATGGGAAGCCCGTGGGTGCGATCCAATAAAGGCGAAGTGCCATCACCCAAAATGCGCTTATCTCGAGAGTCTCAATGCATGCTGCGCGGTCCGGCCGTGATCGGGCCCGGCCAGTGGCAGATGAGGGATTTCAGGCTTTGGTGGTGATTTGACTTTTGGGCCCCGTCAGATGATAAGCCAGTTTAGCAAGTGGCACCGTGGCTGGCAGAGACGCCTCCAGCGAACGTGTCCAGAGCCTTTGCCGGTGGATCTCACCCCGCGTTTTTCGAGGAGTCAACCAGAGCGACAGAGTGGCGTGTTGGGTGTTGAGTTTGACTGGGTGGTGGACGGGACGGGCAGAGCTGGGAGGGCTGATTGTGATCACGGGGGTGATGCCTCATCGGGGAGGCGGTAAGGTTGTCTGCTTACAGTGCTTAGTCTGCTACATCCAGTACCTCCTACACAGTCGTACAGGGCATGCTGACCGTGGGATCATTGGATGTCATGTTGTATATCAGAGTACGGGGGATCCATCCCCACTGCTGATTCGTGCTCGAACCGACTCCCATGCCATGCGATCCCAACGCGATCCTGCCGATTCTCTTCGAGTACGGTAGGAACACCAGCTTCCGAGTCCTGACTGATGCCGAAGCGGTCCTTTGAGGAGTTCGAAAGGGTCTCTCCGTCGGCAGGTACACACCAATGGGTGAGTTTCGTGAAACCTAGTCCAAGTTCAACGTCGGGGAAACGTGGGTTGACACGAAACAACGGTTACTGATAGCCAAGTAAAGCATTCCCTCCGTCCGCTCGAGCAGGTGCTCCACGAGGCAACCGTGCCCAGTGCCACTGCCCACTGCCACCCCGTCTCCACTTGGGCTGATCACCGCATGCCGGACCACCTGGGGTCATCCGTCGGGGCTCCCGTCGACAACACGACCAGCATTCGAGAGCCCTGTCAGTAGTCGGGAGGCCCGTCGCTCCTCAGGGGACCAGGCAATCTGGATCTTCAAGGTCA